TGTCGTTGACCCAACAGGCAGCATGACAGAGGGAAAACAGGTGACTGTCACCCTGTCACCAAGGGGGCACAGCAACCTTTGAAGGAAAGTTGGAGGACGCATCCATTGGTCCACCAAGCTCAGCAGGGTTTTCCCAGGGCCTGTAGGCTGATTACTATGGAAAGCCCGGGCCAGATGTTGCTAACCGGTTAAGACCCAAAGCTAACAAGGGGGAGATCAAAACACGGAAACCCCTGCGATGTGTACAATCACAGGAGCCTAGCAGAGGGCCACCAAAATATTATATGTGGAACAATAGCCACACCAGGCAGACCCCCACCAGGTAAAAAAACAAAAACAAAACAAAAACCCCCGCCACAGTACAATGTCCCCAGAGGAAACAGGAACTGGCCACCGCGTAGGTAGACAGGCAGGCAGCACAACACCTTGACGCCCAAACCAGCACGATACCCCACTCTACCTAAGGTCAAACAAGGGCCACAAAACCTCATGGTCGGCATAACTGGCCGACCCCTCACAGTGTTCAAGAGAGAACTGGATAAGCACCTCCAAAGGATACCTGATCAACCAGGCTGTGACTCATACGTCAGGCTGCGAGCAGCCGCGACCAACAGCCTGGTTGATCAGTCCGGCAACCAGGAGGCCTGGTCGACGACCGGGCCGCGGGGACGCTAAGCCCCGGAAGCACCTCAAGGTAACCTCAAGGTATGTGGGGTGTATTTTGTTATGCCTTCCTTTTTGAGTGCCTAACCCTGGTTGATGGCAGATAAGGAAAACCACCAACTAAAGGGGAGGGGATTTCCAGGACCATTGCTCCCTGCAACCTCTCTGAGGGGGGCCAGGTTCTGGCTCGTGGTCCTCAGTAGGTCGAACTCCTTAGACTTATAATATGGTCTAATATATCACACATTAGCCCGATAGCTCCAGGGAGCCAAAGGGGCTCCCCACAGAAAAGGAAAACTTCACAAGCAGGGGGAGAGGGGGGAGCTGACCTGGGTAAGTCAGGCTATCCCCAGTCAGTTCTTTGACTAATGCTGTGCTGAGTGGCTGTTGCTCTGGCTCTGTATTCCTGTTTTCTTTGGTGTTTTTGCCCTTGCAGTGGTGTTATAAATGGATGTGTGCAAGTAGCCAGGAGTTTTTCGAATACTGGAGCAACTTGCGCCTAGGGCCACCTTTCCAAGGTGCTCTGTAAGCACTGCCCTTGCGTCTCAGGGTAATCTTCCCTTGGGCGTTCAGGGATCACTCCCCGTTAGTAGACTTCCTCACTTGTGGTTGTCTCCACCCTTGGGGTACGTCAAGGACTTTGGGCTTTCCATCTTGCCCTGGGTAGGGGTGTGTTTGTTGACGGGTGGGGCGCAACGTGGCTGGCGCAGCTTGTTTTTCAACTATTGATGGCGGGCCGATGTTTCTCTCTGACTGCTTGTTTATTGTTGTGGAGTTTCAGGGTTTTTATTGTGCTTTCATGTTTACCGGTATTTTTTGCCTTTTTTGGCAGAGGAGTTCTACTTTTCACCTGATTAGGCTTTGCCTAAGAGTGGTCCTCCTCTGTTGCCCTTGAGGCTTTTCTACAGCTGCTTGCGGTCGGATTGCCAGCAGTAACAGCATTTACCAGCTTAGCTGGCCCCAGTGCCTCTGACCCAGGAGTCCTGTAATTAGTAATTACCCAAGTGTAGTTACTGGATGACAGCTACGCTCGTGGTGTCCCGTCTTCCCAGCACTCTTTGCCATATAGTGTTTTTAAATTACTGACGGTTTTGGCCTCCACCACCTTCTCACCTAACTTGTTCCAACCGTCTATCACTCTGTTTGTGAAAGTGAATTTTCTTATATTCCTTCGGCAGCTTTGTTTATTTAGTTTAAATCTATGACCTCATGTTCTTTAAGTTCCAGGTCTCAGGAATTCTTCCCTATCAATTTTATCGATTCCAATTACTATTTTGTACATAGTGATCATATCGCCTCTTTTTCTTCTATCTTCTAGTTTTGTAATATTTAATGACTCTAACCTCTCCTCGTAGCTCTTGTCCTTAAGTTCTGGTAGCTATTTAGATGAATGTCTTTGCACCTTTTCCAGTTTGTTAATGTACTTCTTAAGATATGGGCACCACACAACCGCTGCATATGTCCAGCTTTGGTCTAACAAAAGTCGTGAACAATTTCTTTAGTATTTCGCCATCCATGTATTTACAAGCAATTCTGAAGTCAGAAAGTGCAGCATAGGCTCCTCGGACGATGTTCTTTATGTGGTCCTCACGTGATAGTTTTCTATCTAAAACCACCCCAAGATCACTTTCTTTATCAGAATTCTTTACAGATTTCTCATATAATTTATAAGTTGTGTGGAGTCTATGTTCTCCTATTCCACATTCCATAACATGGCATTTATTCACATTAAATTCTATTTGCCAAGTATTGCTCCATGTACTTATTTTGTCCAGGTCTTGAAGGGGACGACAATCGTCTAAGTTTCTTACCTTCCCTATTTTCTTAACATTATCAGCAAACATGTTCATATAATTCTGTATTCCATCTGGTAGATTGTTTATGTAGACAATAAACATTACTGGTACAAGAACTGAACCATTCGGTACTCCACTCATGACATTTCTCCAGTCTGATACATTGCCTCTGATTATTGTCCTCATTTTTGTGTCAGAAAATTTTTCACCCATGTTAGAAGCTTACCTGTCACCCCTCCAATGTGTTCCAGTTTTCAGAACCTCTTATGTGGAACTCTGTCAAAGGCCTTTTTTTAGGTCCAGATAGATGCAGTCAACCCAACCATCTCTTTACTGTAAAATTTCTGTGGCTCGATCGTAGAAACTGAGTAAATTCAATACACAGGATCTTCCAGATCAAAAAACCATACTGTCTGTCTATTATTATATTGTTTTTCTCCAGGTGTTCTATCCATTTAGTTTTAATTTTTTTCCAATATTTTGACTATTACACTTGTCAATGATTGAGGTCTATAATTGAGTGGGTCTTCCCTGCTGCCACTTTTGTAGATTGGAACTATGTTAGCCTTTTTCCCAAACATCAGCTACAACTCCTGTACCCAGGATGCCTTAAAAATCAGTTGAATTGGAATGCCGAGATCAGGTGAACAGTCTCTCAGAACCCATGGTGAAACTCCATCTGGGCCAACTTCTTTGTTCTTACTTAGCTCCCCGAGCATTTTTTCCACTTTGTCTCTAGACACCTCTATGTGCTCTATATTGTTCTCTGGAATTCTTATTGTGTCTGGTTCTCTGAAGATTTAATTTTGTACAAACACACTTTGGAACTTTTCATTTAATGTTTCACACATTTCATTTTCAGTTTATCTGTTTCTAATTTTCAACCTTTGAATATTATCCTTTACCTGCAATTTGTTGATGATGAATTTATAGAATAGGCCTGGTTTTGTTTTACATTTGTCTGCTATCCCCTTTCTCAAAATTTCTGCCTCTCTCCTCACTGCCGTGTAATTGTTGTTTCTCACATACCTGTATTTGTATCGCTGGTATGTTTGGGGGTTTGGTCTCTTCCTATATTGATTCCATTTGTGAGCCACTTTTTTCACATATTCCTTGACAGAACTTCTGTGGGATCGGGCAGCAGTCACATTGCATAGCCATTTCAGTGTTGCAACATGCCAGATTGTGTAGCAGTTTGGAAGCCCTGGAGCTACCTCACTTGGGTTTTAGGGACTTTGCTTTGGTGGTCGTTGGTCGCTTCGGCCTTGGTTCAGTTCAGTCTGCGCCCTCTCTTCCTTCCCTGGTGGGCATGTTTGCCCTCCCCCCCCCCCTTTTTCCCTGCTGCTGGCCTCCGAATGTCTGTAGGTTTCAGTGTCAGCGGGTTTTAGCTCGGGTGGCTTCAGGGGCTGCCCCTTCCTATACGGGAACAGAGGTGGTTGATCCTCTTCTTCCCGCAGAGGCTTCCAAGTCTATCCAGCCGATTCCCTTTTTCAAAGCTTTTCCCCCTGGACTCTGCCCTTTCTTTTGGGTTGGTGGGAGTGGTAGAGGACTCTGCCCCAGGGCCTTTGACGGTACTTTCCGGGACTCGGGGGCAGTCTGAGTGGAGCTCTTGGGTTCTGTTTGACCCTGTTTGGACCCTTGTGCCCTCTATGCAGAGGCTTCTTCTGCAGGAGACAGGGTTTTCGTACTCTCCTTCCCTTTATGAGGTTGGGTTGGGCACCCCTCCTCCCCCGGGTTCGTTTTTGGGTACCTTTGAGTTCTTTGGATTCATCTTTCCAGAGGTTTCCTTCGTCTTGGATTTGCCCTGCGGAGGTTCAGAAGGTGCTCGTTGCGCACCTCCTGCGGGAGCCTTCTTGGTTTTAGGACTGGGTTTTATCCTTTCTTTCTTTAGCCTTGGTTTTGTGTTGACCCCTTCGTTTCGTGATTGTTTTTGGCAAGCGTTGTTTTTGTTCTTTTGGTCCTAATACAGTAGTCATATTGTTCATTTGCTGCCAGCTCCTTTTCTGGCGAGGATTGAGTCGGCGGGCTTCCAGAGGGGTCCGTTGGTCGTAGATGCTTGGTTGGTTCGGCCAGGGGTACATCACGTGCGGTGTCTGGTAGCTGCTTTGTGCTGCTCCCTGAGGCAGCCCATCCTACTAAGGTTTCCCAAAGTCAAGAAAACGGTCAATTTAAAGTGTCCTCTCCTAACCTTCCAAAGGACCCAAAATAGAAAACAGGACAGTACGTCACTTTCATGAGCCGCTTTCATTTTCAAGTACAGTGCAACAATTTTTGCATCATGCAACGAATACAATCGAAATGCGACATTCTTTGTAAGAGAACAGGTTTTCCTGAGGGGCCCCCGGTTCTGTGTTTGTGGCTGCGCTCTGGGTTCTCTGGTTTCCCTGGTTCGCTGTTCCAGGGTTTGTGCATCTTGGGTTGTCCGCAGTGTCCTATTGTCTAGCCAGCCTGCAGTCTGGCTAGACTGTAGACTGTAGAGCATCATGCCCATACTGTTAGGGCGTAGACTGCTCATTCGTTGGCTGTCTTTGAGAATATGTCTTTGGAGGGTATTCAAGCATGGGGGTTTTGGAAGTCTGCCCAGTTCCTGGCCACCAGATCTCTCGTGAATGTCCTGGACCCTCTGTGGCCTTGTGTTGCTTTGGGGCTTTTGTTGCGAACGGCCATCTCTTTTTTGGGGTTGAGATCTGCAGAACTGCTGCCTCCCTGGTGATTCCCTGTTTTCCTTCTCTTTGGGTAGTTAGTTTCAGGAAGCCGACAGGGCTCCCACAGAAAACCAGCGTTGAATATAATGAAACACCAGTTTCTGGCTCTGGTCCATGGTAGGAACAAAGAACTCTGTGACTAATGACTTTCATGGAATATGGCACTTGATCAGATAGACAGCTTCAGGTGTCCTCTGGGGCTCACCAAGAAACTGGCGTTTCATTACATTCAACGTTGGTTTTTTAATGTTTTTGCATTGTGAGAGGTAAACTTTTTTTTGTTGAAACTCACACATTCATAATTTCTCTTTTGCATGGATTCTCAAATGTCGTACTAGACATGACTTTAGTGGAAAGCCTTTTAGACATACTGAACACTGATATGGCTTTTCTCCTGTATGAAGTCTCATGTGATATACTAGAGATGACTTTCTTGGAAAGCCTTTTAGACACACTGAACACTGATATGGCTTTTCTCCTGTATGAACTTTCAAATGATTCATAAGATATGAATTTCTAGAGAAGCCTCTTAGACACTCCGAACATCGAAATGGTTTCTCTCCTGCATGAACTCTAGTATGTTGTAATAGAGTTGATTTATGTGAAAAGCCATTTAGACAGACTGAACACTGATATGGCTTCTCTCCAGAATGAATTCTCAGATGGTGTACTAGATCTGAGGTTTTCTTAAAGGTTTTTAGACACTCTGAACACTGATAACATTTCTTTTCTGAATGAGCTCTCATATGATTTACAAGATATAATTTTCTTGAGAAACGTTTTAGACACTCTGAACACTGATATGGTTTCCATCCTGAATGAACTCTGGTATGCTGTACAAGCGCTGACTTAAGTGTAAAGCACTTTGGACACTCCGAACACTGATATGGTTTCTCTCCTGAATGAACTCTCATATGATATACTAGCGCTGAATTTTTTGGAAAGCCTTTAAAACACTCTGAACACTGAAATGGTTTCTGTCCTGAATGATCTTGCATATGGTATACTAGAGATGACTTGTGTGAAAAGTCTTTAAGACACTCTGAGCACTGATACGGCTTCATTTTTACAAAAACTTGTACTGTACATGTGTTTCTAATGCCAATTTATAACTAGAGTCTATTAAACACTGGACACTGATGCAGTTTCTCTATGATACAGATTCACAAAAGCTTTAGATAGATTTTGAACAAAATTAGTTTATACAATCTTAATTTGATATTGTAATTTTCCTGCACCAGCTTTCATTCATGCTACTAGGTAAATTACATATGTTTAATAATATTTAACATTAATACAGCTTCACTTGTATACAGTATACAGCACAATACTGTACTACTTATGTTATTAAAGAAAAGATTTTTTGTGAAATGCTAATGTGAACACTAATTTGGATCTAATTCTTTACTAAATTTCAACAAAGCCCGGAGCGAGTGTGAACTGTGCACACGATGCAGTAATGGACAGTGGGAGCCGTGTGTTCAGATGAACTCAGTAATTTATCCTCACAAGGGGCACTTTACTCTTATTCTATGAAGTGACAGATAATACTGTTGATAATTTGCTGCAGAGTACTTGTACCGGTTGTCTGTGATACTGACAAGAACAGATGTTCCACTCAATATTTTCAAGATATTCATTAACCTCAAATATTCCGACTCCATGAAAGTAGTAAACTGTGTAAAGATAATGTTATGCCACATGAATAGATGTGCACAGTAGCACAGTATATAAAGTGAAGAGTTTCCTGTGACAAGCTTCAAATGACACAATTGAAACACTTACAATTCTGACACTTTTCACTATATTTGTTCTTTTATATGTTTCAGGAGTTTCTTTGGCACACTAGAGTACAGCTGTACATTTGAAACTGTATAAATCTCAAATGGTTGGGTATCAGTGAAAATCTTTGTAATATAGAGGATGAAATTCTCTCAATAATATTTGACAAGACAAAACTATAATTACACAGGAAAATTGTCACATTCCTAAAAAACTTTATCGTTAAATAAATTTTTGATTTCAGAATGAATCACAGACTTCGTACATAAACTTAAAGTTTCCACTCAGATAGCTATATCCCTGTTATCTAGGAAAATATAGTCACTTAGAGCTGGGAGTCGACTGTACTCATATGCACACACAAAGCTCACAACACATACAAGGAATTACCCAAATTCAAGCAATGGAAATGCAATTCAAGCAATTACTTCTTGAGTAATGTTTTTTATTAACTATCGGTGATATCTATATGTACTCATCAATTATTCAGATTAATAGTAGTACTAGATATTTTAAAAGTGAGAGATACACAACAGGTAATGGTAAGTCAGTAATAGAAGATATATTATTATTATGAAATAAATATCAACACATTATTAAGTTAATGCACAACTAGGAGAGAATAGAAAAACAGTTGAAAGTAATTAGAAAAGGTACAAAAGTTAAAACATCCTTTAAAAGGTTATATCTACTGCAGGTATTTAACCTTTAAGATAGTGTGTACATAATATAGAATATATTTACATAATGGTTAAAATACAACAAACATTCCCCAAAAGTGTCAGTTAATTATTAAACATGTGTTTTACACACCATTATTTTGCATTACTCTATTTGCAAATTCTGAAGTCATAAGTAAATATCATTTAACACAAAATTGCCCCCTTGTCTTTGCTTGCATTTATTGTAAAGGATGATAATGAGGCATGAGAACATGTGAATGAACAAAGTGAAATTAACATTACAAGCTGTTGATGTTGTGGCCAGGGTGTAGAGGTGAGCTGTAAGATATGAAGTGTTGTCATGGTGTTATATTTGTAGCACTAACATACATGACATGCTTCAACCACTAACTTGGGCTTCACGACACTCAAAGCTGACACTGCAAGAGGAATTCTTCTGGTGAAACAATCAGCTGCAAAAGGAAATAATGACACATAAATATGGATATAATTTTATATGAAACATTTTTGAACAATTGAATAAATTCAAGGACATATTTTTGGCAAAAGTGAGTTTCTTTAATAATATGGTATTACAACATATTGAAAAGCAGGCTGATACTTAGACCAGCACAGAAATTTTAACCACTGCACTGCGCAACGCGTCTATAGGCGTTCGACGGGTAGTGTGCAACGCGCCTCAGGGCTCTTATAGGTATAGCGTTATCATTCAAAACTCATATTATTCATACTATTTTAACAATATAAAATAGTATAACATAAATCATACTATTTTAACAATATAACAAGAGAAAAAAAATTTTAGGAAAGAATTTATTTTCTGCGCACCAGGGGTTTGTCATATTTTAATGCAGAGTAGTGCAGTGCTTTAGGCGGCCGATCAGGGGTGCGCAGAGCGCCATATAGTGTTTTTAGGTATAGGGATTGAATTAAAATGCCTGCGGATACACGGGACTCACATCCTGTGCCTCAGGACTCCTGTAAACAGATGCCATCTTAAAAAAATCATCAGCATCTGTGCTGGCTGTGAGAGCCTTAGTACTGAGAGAGTGACCAAGGCTGGCGCATGCAGGAGCAGCGCACAGCACCTACCTTGAGATTACCTCGAGGTGTTTTTGGGGCTTAGCGATGAAAAGCTAAGGGAGCCATAGTAAACCATCACTTGGTAATGATGAATAAAATAGATAACTGAAATTACTTTGAATTGATAAGTGTCATAGATGATCCTGACTGTGATAAAGACATATTTAAGATATGTTTAATGTTCAGATATCAGTGAATATAATGTTAGTTGTGATATTCACAGCATGAGGTACACACACACACACCTAAATTGCTGCACAGCCACATCAGGAGAAAAACCACAGTGAAGGAACAGGTCATGAAATTGAGGATAGAGGCAGACAGATTCCCTACAAATGACAAGGAATGGGGGGTGAGGAACTCATTAAGAAATTCCAGGAGGTCTTCACATTAGAGCAAGGAGAAGTTCCAGAGATAAGAGAAGGAATAGTTAACCAGGCACCACTAGGGGAGTTTGGGATTACCAGTGGGGATGTAAGGAAGCTTTTGCTAGAGTTGGATGTGACAAAGGCTATAGGCCTGGATGGAATATCACCATGGATACTAAAGAAGCAGAAGCACTGTGCCTGCCACTCTCCATGGTGTATAACAAATCACTGGTAACAGGTGAACTGCCAAACATTTGGAAGCAAATGAAGTCCCAATATACAAGAAAGGAGATAGACAGTAGGTACTGAACTACAGGCCAGTGTCCCTAGCTTGCATACCATGCAAGTTGATAGAAAAGATTGTGCGAAAAAAGCTAGTGGAACATCTGGGGCGAAGGAACTTTGTGACACAATACCAACATGGGTTCAGGGATGGCAAGTCATGCCTCACAAGATTAATTGAATTCTACAATCAGGTAACAAAAATCAGGCAAGAGAAGGGTGGACAGACTGCATATTTTTGGATTGCCAGAAAACCTTTGACACAGTACCACACAAGAAACTAGTGCAAAAGCTGGAGATGCAGCCAGATGTGAGAGGGAAGGTACTCCATTGGATAAGGGAGTACCTAAGCAACAGAAGACAGCAAGTCACTGTGAGGAGTGAGGCCTCAGATTGGCGAGGTGTCACAAGTGGAGTCCCGCAGGGGCCAGTCCTTGGTCCTATACTATTTCTGATATATGTAAATGATCTCCCAGAGGGTATAGAATCGTTCCTCTCATTGTTTGCTGATGATGCAAAAATTATGAGGAGGATTAAGACGGAGGAAGATAGTATGAGGCTACAAGATGACCTAGACAAACTGAATGAATGGTCCAACAAATGGCTACTAAAGTTCAACCCGAGTAAATGTAAGGTCATGAAACTAGGCGGAGGAAACAGGAGGCTAGACACAGGATATACTGAATGGGAGATGAAGTCCTTCATGAAACAGAGAAAAATATCTAGGAGTTGATATCACACCAAACCTATCTCCTGAAGCCCACATAAAAAGAATAACATCTGCGGCGTATGCGAGGCTGGCTAACATCAGAATTGCCTTCAAGAACCTGTGCAAGGAATCATTGAGAACCTTGTATACCACATATGTAAGACCAATCCTGAAGTATGCGGCCCCAGCATGGAGGATTAAGAGCAAGGAGTCCGTACCTTCTCAAGCACAAGACGAAGCTGGAAAAAGTTCAGAGGTATGCCACTAGGCTAGTCCCAGAACTAAGAGGAATGAGTTACGAGGAAAGGCTGCGTGAAATGCACCTCACGACACTGGAAGACAGAAGAGTAAGGGGAGATATGATCACTACCTACAAAATTCTCAGAGGAATTGACAGGGTAGATAAAGATAAACTGTTTAACATGAGTGGAATGCGAACAAGGGGACATAGATGGAAACTGAGTACCCAAATGAGCCACAGAGACGTTAGAAGAACTTTTCCAGTGTCAGAATAGTTTACAGGTGGAATGCATTAGGCAGTGATGTGGTGGAGGCTGACTACATATACAGTTTCAAATGTAGATATGATAGAGCCCAATAGGCTCAGGAATCTGTACACCAGTTGATTGACAGTTAAGAGGCAGGACCAAAGAGCCAGAGCTCAACCCCTGCAAGCACAACTAGGTGAGTACAACTAGGCGCGTACACAGCACCCAGCCATTGTTTCCCGCATCTACGCATTATGAAACAACCTTATGTTCCTTCACTAATGTTCATTTCTTTATAGAACTGGATTTATATTTGGGATTTTGTGACAGGAATGTGATAACAGCAGTTTTGTAGCTAGTCATAGCGAGATGTGTAGAATATTGGAGGCATTGTCTTGCATCATGTGACTGCTGGCATCGTCTGCTTGCGGCTCCATGTTGTGCTGATTGCTGACCAAACGATGGTTGCCAAACCCTCCCACCCATACTGTAATAAAATTTTTAATCTTAGCTGTATATATTTATGCCAAAATATGTTAATTTTTATGTATTACTATACATTAATAATCATTAACAAAAAAAAAAAAAAAAATTATTGCTTCCTGTTTACTAATTAACCCTTTAGCTGCTAAGGGGTCCTGAGGAGATTAACACCCCTGTGTGCAACCAAAAAAAAAATCTAAAAAACTATTTCGTCCTCTAAAAATGTTAATTTGTGTTCCCTGACCACAGGAAAAATAAAAAAAAATCGTAGGTGACATATTTTGGGCACAATAGACCGAGGAAGTCTGGCAAAAAGTGGGAGATGCGAGAGCGGTCGTCAGAGCCGGTCAGCGTCACCCGAGCTGACAGGTGAGAGTTGCCACAAAGATATTATCACCTAATTATTTCAATGTCTCTGATTTTTTCTTATTTTTTTGCAGTAATATTATTCAATAGTGTGTAGTGTGATATATTTATATAATAAAAGGGGTGAATCATCGCTATACTCAAAAGTATGGTGTGCATATTAGTGATTCAATTATTATGTTCATAAAACAATAAACAAATAGTTTTGCTGCTATTACACTCTATACACAGGTTATATATAAGTATCTGCATGTTTTGGTCGCCATAACGAACCACTAAGTTGGTATTGTGAGTCGAAAAGCAACGAGGAGTGACCGCCACTCACTAGCCAGTCACTCGTTGCCACTCCCTTAACAATGCCTCTCTCGCCCACTTTCTCCTCCCACCATCCTGTTTTATACTTTATTCACAATATACAGACGTTATATATAAGTACTGTATCTACATGTTTTGTTCACCACAACTGTACAACTAAGCTGATATAAATAGTTCAGGCACTAAGAGTCGTCGCTACACACAGTCAGCTGGCGGCTGCCTCCCTCACTCATTCAAGGTCACACGTACTAAATTTCTCCCCCCAACAATACTGTTTAGAGTGTTATTACACTATATATACATATTATATATAAGTACAGTATCTACATGTTGTATGCACCGTAACTGTACACCTAAGCTTGTAGAGTGCCCAAAGAGCATAGTGGCCACCCTCTACACAGCCAGACAAATCATGCAGACGAAGTCACCTCCGTCACCCAAATGACTCCTCCCAACATAATCCTTTTGCTGTTATTACACTAATACACACATTATATATAAGTATTTATATTTGTGTTCACCATAGAGAACCACTGAGCTGGTATGGTGAATGCAGACAATAACAGGTGGCCACACAGTCAGTAAACGATGCTATCTCCCTCCCTCAGTAAGGTAAGACTGAAAGTATTGCAGGGAGTGACCTCTGACTCCATAATGATGTAATTTAATAAGGTTTTGGTGGTTGACAGTGTCAAAAGCCTTACGTAGGTCCACAAATAACCCAACAGGGAACTCATTTTTATCAAGAGCTGTATGTATCAAGTTAATCATACTAATAAGTGCATTGTTAGTGCTTTTATTGGGTCTGAAACCATATTGGCAAGACATATATTGGCTAAGTATAATGATTTTGGCTAGATATGAGTAAATATGATAGATAGGTGCTAGATATGAGTAGTGGCTCCCTCCTCCATAGCATGCTGTTCTCATGCAGCATGAGAACTGTTCTCATGCTGCATGAGAACTGTTCTCATGCTGCATGAGAACTGTTCTCATGCAGCATGGGAGCTGTTCTCATGCAGCATGGGAGCTGTTCTCATGCAGCATGGGAGCTGTTCTCATGCAGCATGGGAGCTGTTCTCATGCAGGGAGGCAGTGAAGAAGGAATGGAAGGCATTGAGGGAGGGATGGGAGGCAGTGATGGAGGGAGGCATTAAGGGGGAGAGGCAGGGAGGGACAGGAGCAGTGAGGGAGGGAGGGAGGGTGGGTTATCTTGAGGTTATCTTGAGATGATTTCGGGAATTAGTGTCCCCGCAGCCTGGTTCTTGACCAGGCCTCCTTTTTGTTACACACCCCCAGGAAGCAGCAGGTAGCAGCTGTCTAACTCCCAGGTACCTATTTACTGCTAGGTGAACAGGGTTTTACGCTGCACTGAGCATGGTCGGCGGCTGGTACATGGTGCGCTGGCCATGGTATCTCTTGGGGTAACTAAGGCCTCCACACAATGGCAGCCTATGCTGGATTTGTTTCCAAGATGGCATCTGTTTTACTATCAGCCATGGCTGGACTATAGCTGCCCCTATCCCTCAAGGGGCATTTAAAATTCGTGCACCTCGGCTTACGAATTCCCTTCTTTATGAACTTTTCGGGTTATGAGCCCGATTTCTTCGGAAAATTTGAATTGGGTTACAAACTTTACCTTGGGAAACGAGTTTGTTGATACACGTATGGCCAACCTAGCACGTGGTGGTATGGCGATCGCGCCTCAGTTTACCAGTGCCTCCCACCTAGTGACTATTGCGCCTGAATACTTTGCAAGGATTTACAGTTTTTTTTGGCTATTTGAACATAAAATTTATTATATATCTCGCCATGGGTCCCAAGAAAGCCAGTGGTAAGGTTCAAGGCAAGAAAACACATGTGAGAATGACCATAGAGAAAAAACAGATCATTCGTAAACATGAAAATGGTACAGGGGTTGTTGAACTAGCTAGGCAGTATAACAAATCTTCAGGGGGAGGAGGAGGAGGCAGTAGAGGATGTCCCTTCCTCATTAATTAAGAAAATGTGTGCAGTATGGAAAGAACTGCAAAGTTTTGCTGAAAAGAATCACCCAGATAAAGCTTTAGCAGGCCATTACATTGATCTTATTAATGACAATGTGATGTCTCACTACAGACAAGTGTTACAAAGAAGGGAAAAACAATCTTCAATGGAACGATTTTTAGTGAGAAAATCAAGCAGTGAGCCACAAGCAGGTCCTTGTGGTGTGCAGGCAAAACATGCCAGAGAGTGTACCCCAGGGAAGTGATGATTGATGAAGATTAAGCCACCCAAAAGGTGGCACGGCATGAATAGCCCGTAAGTGGTGGCCCTTTTGAGCCATTACCAGTATCAAGAGCTGATACTGGAGATCTGTGGAGGTGCGAATGCACCCTGCATGGCGGGAGATGTCTCCCTTGTGAATGTGTTATGAAGATGAAGCCACCCAAAAGGTGGCACGGGCATGAATAGCTCGTAAGTGGTGGCCCTTTTGAGCCATCACCAGTATCAATAGATGATACTGGAGATCTGTGGAGGCGCGACTGCACCCTGCGTGACGGGAGATGTCTCCCGGACCAAGTGGTGACCAGATGGTGACCAGGTAAATTGTTTGGGTACATTTCCTTTCACCTGATACCTCTGTTCTCCTAACAGTAAACAAGTATCTGTGAATTAGGAAAGTTTGATAAGTTACATCCTGGGGAAGGTTATTAGTATATTGGGCTACCCTTAAAGGGGCATCGATAAGCTTAACAAACTTCTTCCTGTTCCCAACAGCGGTAAATCATTGAGCCTACCATATTTCCCCCTAAAAATATTAATAGGTTTACACCTGCTTACCTTAACTGAGTCTATAGATGATAAATGTTGACAAATGTATTTATCAGTATTAATAGTGTCTGAGTGGAGGTAGTTGTTGGCTGCCTGCTACTTTAGGGTCTGAGTTAATATAAGTAGGACGGAGCTCGTCACCACACTGGAGTCTTCCTCTTGAGGCCAACAGGACAACCATGGCCTGGCTGGTCTGGGCGACAACACATCAACACAGCTGTTTGGGCTATCATAAGGGTCCAAAAAGCTCCCCAAGAGTTAAAACTCTGACGTCACACTTCTTGCGCATACTGAATGCATAAAAGACAAAAATATATATATTGTTTTCATTAGGTTAGGCTAATTGTTACGCTAAGGATAGGTTAGAATATATTAGGTTAGTTTATAGCAAAATATATTTGTTTAAAAAGAGTAGCGATGACGTGTATGAGCATAATTTTCGCCCTTTTTGAACCGGTTGTGAGGGGAGTCGCCGCTGTCGTATCCCGCTGATTCTATTGTTGTACCTCTAATTACTCCAACCGGGGAGGGGAAATCCTCTCCTCCGAAGGATGGTTAAATTATACACAAAGTTATTACGTATATACACAATATATTATACACAAAGTTATTGTGTATAATTTGACAAAGTTAATTTTCTAATTGTCAAAACTGTATAAATCCTTAGATTGGGATGTATTAGCTTCTCCGTGGTGTAGTGTCTGGCCACTACACCAGTCTCCGTGGTGCAGTGGTAAGACACTCACCTGGCGTTCCGCGAGCGCTATGTCATGGGTTCGTATCCTGGCCGGGGAGGATTTACTGGGCTCAAATCCTTAACTGTAGCCTCTGTTTAACTCAACAGTAAAATGTGTACTTGGTTGTAACAGTACGATTCTTCGCGGCGGGGATCGTATTCCAGGGACCTGCCCGAAACGCTACGCGTACTAGTGGCTCTACAACCATGTAACAACTCTTGTATATATCTAAAAAAAAAAAAAACTTAAGTTAGGTAGTGTAGCAAGTATATTATGTCTGTAATATACTTGCTTCATATTCTCAAAATTCAAAACAAAATCAAAATGTTTATTCAGGTTTAAGTACATACATAGAAAATGGGTTACAAACATAATGTTGGATTTATAGATAGAGCTAGTACATACAATACCTAAAGTCAATAATACGCACTCGGGCAAGGACTCATTAACTTATATGCAGATAATGAGATAATTCTGTTAATTCGATTGATTGATTGATAAACATTAAGTCACCCAAGAGGTGGCACGGGCATGAATAGCCCATAAGTGGTGGCCCTTTTGAGCCATCACCAGTATCAAGAGCTGATACTAGAGATCTGTGGAGGTGCGACTGCACCCTGCGTGACGGGAGATGTCTCCCGTGCTCCCGGACGGCAATCCTCAGGTCGCTAACCTCCCTTTCTGGAGGAGCCAATCTGCAAGTCCTTCGCACATACTATGTACAGGCAGTCAGATCAGTGATCGATTATGCCGCACCTGCACTCACAAATCTATCACACCAACAGTGGAAAAAGCTTGAAGTTGCCCAAAACCATGCTATGAGAGCTGCACTGGGAGCCCTCATTTTAGACTGGAGACGGGTTTGCCCTCTCTACAAGAAAGAATATCACAAAGGACAGCTACAATTATCAGTAAGATAATTATTTCTTCTGATCCAATTCCAGTACGGCAGGCCTTGGTGGTTGGACTAGGCCAAAACAATGGAAACTCTTGGGTTGCAAGAGCAGGAAAAGTCCTAAACAGACTACATTTAAAAAACATGATTCTTGATAGAGAGGGTGATCATCCACACCCAAATTACACTCCTTCCGCGCCGTGGGAAGAGCCTACTTTCAAAATAGTAATAGAAAGTCTCCCAATGAAAAAGGCTGCCTACGATCCGACAATCCTAAGGCGCATAATAGAAGAGCAAATGTATAGCATAGCATAGCAGTAGCAGGAGCCACCCACATCTTCACAGACGGATCGGTGGACACAAAATATGAGAGTGCTGGCGCTGCTCTTTGCACGGCCAGCGTACAGGCATATTGGAGACTGGGAGGACTAGTATCATCAACCCAAACTGAGCTGTTTGCCATACAACAGGCATTCGCATATGTGATTGCACAAAACACTCAAAATGCAATCATACACACAGACTCAAAAGCTGCACTTCAAATACTAGGACAAAAACAGTGGAAAGATAATGTGGAAATAATTACCACCATTTTGTATCTTGGAGCAGTCGCTAAAGGCAAAGGACTCAACATAACTTTAAACTGGATCCCATCCCATGTTGGAATCCCATTAAATGAAAAAGCTGATGAAATTGCTAAATTGGCAACTCGTCATCCAGTGATACATAAAACAATTCAACCCAGCCTAGAGAACATAAAAAACATCATCACCAAAAAACTCTCACATCTCAACAAAGCCGACCTGCACCAGAGAATAGCTGAAGGTTCGCCATCTGCAACATGGTATCTTCAGGCAACCAAATTAGAAAGGTTAAATATCCCAAAAGGAATCAACAGGGAAATAGCAGTTAGGTTATATAGACTACGTCTAAGTTACAGATGCAACTGGGAGATTGGTGAACCCCGACAGAGAGAGTGCATCTTCTGCCAAACTGTCACAGAAAAGCCATTACTTCACTATCTTCTGGAATGTGAAGCAACCAATGACCTTAGAAGAGCTTTAAGAGTTCCTGAATCATGTAGTGGCCACCCTGAAGCCATCAACACAGCCACTCTCCTGGTCAACAAAGGTGTCCAGCAGCTGGACACCCTCATAAAGACTGTGAAGCAGTATCCTCCCCCACGATAACAGCCTGATGGTTAAATGCAACCTCAGAATACTGAGAAAAAAAAAAAAAATTTATTGTACCACTTACGGGCTATTCATGCCCGTGCCACCTCTTGGGTGGCTTAATCTTTATCAATCAATCAATCATGTCTACTCCCACCACTTACAGGCTATTCATGCCCGTGCCACCTTTTGGGTGGCTTCATCTTCATCTTAACACATTCACATCTCCCGTCATGCAGGGTGCATTCGCACCTCCACTGATCTCCAGTATCAGCTCTTGATACTGGTAATGGCTCAAAAGGGCTATTTACCACTTACGGGCTATTCATGCCCGTGTCACCTTTTGGGTGGCTTAATCTTCATCAATCAAGCAGAGTTCACGGGAGACATCTCCCGTCACGCAGGGTGCAGTCGCACCTTCACAGATCTCCAGTATCAGCTCTTGATACTGGTAATGGCTTAAAGGGGCCACCACTTACGGGCTATTCATGCCCGTGCCACCTTTTGGGTGACTTAATCTTTATCAATCATCAAAGCAGTGCTCACAGTTATAGCCCCGCTCTTGTGCCAGGTAAGTCCACTGCGGGCTCACCATATCCCGTGCTACTTGGAACTTTTAGTTCCAAGTAGCTGAATCTTAAACAACAACAACGAAGCAGAGCATCATCCACAGATCCCAAGTACCAGCTATTGGTACTGGTAATGGCTCCAAAGGGCCTCCACTTACGGGCTATTCATGCCCGTGTCCCCTTTTGGGTGGCTAAATCTGTATCAATCAATCAAGCAGAGCATTACGGGCTATTCATGCCCATGCCACCTCTTGGGTAGCTTAATATTTAACAATCAGTCAAGCAGAGCAGCATATATACTTACGGGCTATTCATGCCCGTGCCACCTTTAGGTGGCTTAATCTTCATCAATCAATCAGAGCAGCATACATACACACCATCTGGTCACCATTTGGTCAGGGAGACATCTCCCGTCACGCTGGGTGCAGTCGCACCTCCACAGGTCTCCAGTATCATCTATTGATACTGGTGATGGCTCAAAAGGGCCACCACTTACGAGCTATTCATGCCCGTGCCACCTTTTGGGTGGCTTCATCTTCATCTTAACACTTAACACTTCATCTCCACTGCATAGAAAACCCCCCTACCCCAAACCCTCCCTGCCCCCACTCAAATGTTCAGCAAAATCTCCCTCCCCCACACCCAATCCCCACCCTTCTACCCCTCCCCTCCTCCCGAGTCCTCCCTCCCCCCTTTCCTTCCCGTCCTCCCTCCCCTTTCACCACATACCCTCCCTGTCCCTCCCCCTTCACTGGATCCCCCGCCCCTCATCCCAGTATCCTCTGAGACCCTGTTATCCACCTCACAGGTCCTCACACCCATGGAACAGCCTCCCCCACCAGCAGAACACTCACCAAGGAGGCGATTGAGAAGGGACAGAAGAAAGTGAGCCTCAAAGCGATGTACACAAACATAGATGGAATTACAAATAAAGCAAATGAGCTTGGAGAACTGGTACTAGAGGAAAACCCAGACATAATAGCCCTCACAGAAACAAAGATCACGAATACGATAACAAATGCAGTGTTCCACAGGACTATTATGTTATGAGGAAAGAGAGGGAAGGAAGAGGTGGGGGTGGTGTAGCTCTGCTGGTAAGAAAAGGCTGGGATTTTGAAGAGATGGATATTCAGGGCTGTGAAGGTTTCAGTGACTACATAGCAGGTACAGTAACAAATGGAGGGAAAAAAATTATAGTCGTAGTCATATATAATCCACCACCAAATGACAGAAGACCTAGATAGGAATATGATAGAAACAACATGGCCACCATTAACATAATAGAAAGAGCAGCTTCTGTTGCTAGCAGGAATGGAATGGATCAACCATGGGAAGATAGATTGGAAGAACAGAGACCCGCATGGAGGACCAGAAACATGGAGAGCTAAGCTGCTGGACGTGGCAACAAGAAACTTTCTAAGCCAGCACATCAAAGAACCAACAAGAATGAGAGGAGAAGATGAACCAGCAATGCTTGATTTGATATTTACCCTAAATGAGTAAGATATAAGGGAAGTTAAGATGGAAGCGCCCTTGGGAATGAGTGACCACAGTGTATTGAACTTTGAGTACCTGGTAGAGCTAGGACTTATCTCCCCCAAAAAAGAACTAGGAATCAAAGGGGAATTATGAACAGATGAGAAGTTTCCTAAGTGAAATACCTTGGGACACAGACCTCAGAGACAAGTCTGTACAGGGTATGATGGACTATGTTACCCAAAAGTGTCAGGAGGCAGTAAACAGGTTCATCCCGGCCCAAAGGGAAAAATCCGAGAAGCAACAGAAGAATCCATGGTATAATAGGGCATGTATGGAAGCGAAGAAACTGAACAAAAAGGCGTGGAGGAACTTCCGGAATAACAGAACACCAGAAAGCAGAGAGAGATACCAGAGAACCAGGAATG